TGGGTCACGAATGCCCTGGCCAAGCTTTTGAAACTCGAGATTGACCCTCGTTTTAATTGTCGGAACCATATTCTGGCCGACCCGTTTAATGTAGTCGAGAATACCCGGCACCTGACCGCTTCCGACACTCTGTAGATATCCATCCATTCTCGATAAGCATTTAGATGGTCCACTAGGTCAGTCGTCCCGTCGAATTGTTTCACCATGGGTAGCTTGAATTTTGGAGGGACCTTATCTCTCATGATCTCCTCCGTGAATGGTGAGCCGGCTTGATCCAGTAGTTCTTCGAGGTCGAATCCCTTCTCCTTTTAGTTGTGTCGCTTCTCCGAAGACTCTAGTCGATCTGTCGGTTTGCCTTTGTCGAGACTTATCGGCTCAGAGTTTCTATTATCATGGTCGCTCTTGCCCTCGTCTGGTGCCAGGGATTTATGTTGACTCCTCGGTCGCCTGGTATTTCCACCTATCCACAACTTGCTCCCTGCACTGTTTGTTGACTCCTCAGTCTCGCTTTGCGCTGGGCCCTTCCCCTTTCTCGGGTCTCTAACAAAGGGTACCTCGTCGGACTCTTGTCGCTCGAATTGTCGAAGGACTTGGGTCATGCATTGAAGCATGTCCTCTACCTTGTCTTCCAAGACCGCGAACTGCTTTTGGAGTGGCTCAGGGATCGTTAGTGCGTGCGCCTCGGGAAACCCCTCCTGACGTTCCGGGTTTGACTGGCTGGTCCCATCCTCGGGTCTTCCAACCTGGGGGCCGTCCAATTTCAGCCTCCTCTTGGCGGAGCAGTTATCATCAGAGCGTCGTGGACTCCTTTCTGGTGTCATGTTGCTCAACTGGTGCTTTAAATCGTCCCCACAGACGGCGCCAATTGTTGATGCGTGGATTTTGGTCCTCCAGTTCTCCTCCTTGCACCCACCAAACTTGTTGATTCTGGACTAGTACCTGCAAAAACAAATCGAGCTAAACCAGTGTGACTCTAGTCACACGGGCTCCGATGCTTAAGTTAGCAAGAGAATAACGTCAATGTAGTCAACTTTTAGATCCACATACCTCTAAGGTTGGATCGCTACTTATAGCGTGGAGTTGTTCCAGAACTTTCCATAGCTAGCCCTAATTCACCGTTGCAAGGCCTGGGCGGAATCGTCGATCGAAGATGGGGGATCGTTGGCTGGGCCATGGGCCGAGCCCCGGGTCGGGACCGAGTCCTCTCGGCCCGGTTAGTTCTCCGCCAGTTGCTTTCCTCATTCTTTGCCCCGACATTAGGTTGTTTTTGTTCTCTATAACATCTTATATTTGCTGTGTTGCTTTTTTTTAACACATTTGATTCTGATGATTTTGGTTTTGATTTATTACATTCTTTTGAAAATCATGTAATACTTCTCCTAGGTTTAAGTTAATTGACTATTCACTTGGACTTCTATCTATATATTGGATATGGATATAAACTCATTATCATCCTACTTTATAAGAGCGAGTTGAGGCTTTGAATCAATCTTCCATGAACCGATTGGAACACAGCTGTTATGAGGTACTATGTGTGTTATTGCTGTTATAGAAGTTCTTATCGTTTCTATATTTGTTGCTTGATAGACCATTTTGTCCTGAGAATTGTTTGTCCTAGAAATGGAGTGGTTGTTTCGTTTTTTATTCTTTAACTAGGATTTCTCTAGCTTTGTTATTTATGACTCGTGTTTACGTACTATCGTGATGGATGTTATTGTGTTATGTTGTATGACTCTTGCTCCTGTTGTTGTTTTGAAAATTCAACTAGTGTTCCTTGTGAGATTATTGTTGTTGTTGTTTTTTTAAGAGATGTGTGTGAAAGTTTAATGTGTGAGAAAGTGTATGTATTATTATATATGTTTATGTGTTTATATATTGATTAATTCTTATATTAGGAGTATCTTTCTTTTTTTAGTTTACTAGAAAAAGTGCATATCGACATGAATAAGTTGACGAGGTTAGAATAGAATGAGCAACTTTTGTTGAAAGATTTGTGTAAGCCTACTTATGGATATATTCATTTTGTTTGTTTGATGTAAGTATTTGGGCCGTGTTACTTTCTGTTGTAGTATTAGTATAATGGAAATACTTTGTTTATATTAATTTTGGATTGTTGTTGTTTCTATAGTAGTATTAGTACGATGGAAATACTTTTTATTTATNTTCTGGGTTTGGCTGGCCGGTCCCATCCTCCGGTCCTCCAACCTGGGGGTCGTCCAAGTTCAGCCTCCTCTTGGCAGAGCAGTTATCATCAGAGCGTCGTGTACTCCTTTCTGGTGTCATGTTGCTCAACTGGATGCTTTAAATCGTCCCCACAGACGGCGCTAATTGTTGATGCGTGGATTTCAGTCCTCCGGTTCTCCTCCTCGCACCCACCAAACTTGTTGATTCGGGACTAGTACCTGCAAAACCAAATCGAGCTAAACCGGTGTGACTCTAGTCACACGGGCTCCGATGCTTAAGTTAGCAAGAGAATAGCGTAAATGTAGTCAACTTTTAGATGCCCCTACCTCTAAGGTTGGATCGCTACTTATAGTCATGACGTTGTTCCAGAACTTTCCGTAGCTAACCCTAGTTCCATTGGAGGGTCTAGGCAAAATCGTCGATCGAAGATGGGGGATAGCTGGAGGGCCGTGGAGCCCGAACACGGCTCGGGACCGAGCCCCGGGTCGGGACCGAGCTCCTTGCGGCCCAGCGGGCTCCCCTCCATTATCACCTATAGCTTGACTGCCGACTCCCATTGCATAACAGCTCTAATATCATGTAGAGACTAAGGTCTAAACGGATCAAATAATTCTATTATCCTTCACTAAAAGATATATATAGACAAATATACATAATTGGCTCAAGTAAAGAATGTAAAAATCAAAGCGAGCATAGTTCAGCGGTAATTGGCATATACCTCCAACTAGGAGGTTGCAAGTTCGAACCAACCTTATAAAAAGTCATAAAAAATATTTAAACTAATAAAATATGCATTTCACTCTTTTAAATAAGTTTAAAATTGTCATTATTAATATTATATGCATATTAATGATATTTTGTTAATATTTTCTTATATTTCATCGATTTTTTTTATAATTTAATGGAAATTTCGATGTATCACTTATATCGACGTGGAATCTATGAACATATAAAAATTTGGATAGAAATGTTGACCTATTGACAAAATTTTGACACCTTGATCTTTCCTACGCCAAATGTTAATAATAAAGATAGATTTCATGTTGAATAAAGTGAAAGAGCTAGAGTGGTGAAATATTTCCACCCTAGCATTTTTTTTAGTTCAACAATAGTACGTGAGAATCAAACCATTGACCTTTAAGATGGTAATAAATATCTTATCCACTAAGCTATGCTTAGATTGGCTAACGTGATATTAATAATATTTAGGAAACTTAATTTCTTTGTATGAAACTTTATCATCTCCAAATGCAATTTTCTAAAAAGTTGTATGAATTATAAAATAGAGTCACAAATTTTTAATAAAATCTGGAGGATACTCGATTTACCACTATGTTAGGTCCTAAAATCATAGGGGTACATGAATACTACGAAGAAGGTTAGTAATGAAATGGTAGTAGAGACCATCATAAGTTAGATTTGCCCCAAAAAGTTTCAATCAAAAGGAATCAGATTTTGTTTTATATATATTTTCTCCAATTAATGAAGCACAATTAATAGACTACTAATTGTTATTGATATAAAAGCAATTTTTTTTAAATGATGACCTAGAAGAAATAATTTATATGGATCAACTTAAATGTTTTATGGAATCCGACGAAGAAAACAAAGTTTGTTAACGAAATCCCTCCATGGCTTAAAATAAGCCCTAAAATAGTGCATAGAAAGTTGTGCTAAGGAATAATTATAAAACAAATAACTATGATATATGCATCTATTATGAAGTTGAAAAGATTCTAACTATCCTTCTACTGCACTTATTACCAAATAATTAAAAATAAAAGTTACATTTATAGGCGATAGATGAGTATCTAGGTATTTAAAACGGACGCTGAATAGAGAAGAGTAAATGGATGAACTGAACTGATACCACATCTGAGGATCCTAAGATCATGGAAGCATGGTTAAAAATGATTTAAAAGAAGTGATATTTACTATCTATACTAATAAGGGTGTACCTTCGTTTTCGGTAACTCAACCATAAGAACTCCAGGATAGAACTCCAGGATATGCAGTAGGTACCAAATTCTAGGCCTCGAACGTTATTGGAGGTGCTTCAACGCCATATGAGTGCCTCCAAAATTTGGATGGGTCCTCAAGCATCATGCCTACCGATTGGCATGCTACAAGGTAACTTTACTTCTCTTTTGAGCTTCGATTAAAATTTCTACTATATCTCTCAATGACTTCTAAATCAAAACTTGATGGTTAGCCTCTAAAAATGTCGACGCAATTGTCCCATCTTTTGTTGATCACCAAATGATTGAGTAATGTAAAATGCATTGTAATCATTTTTTTTCCTTTGCAATTATAGTATAGAGTAGATTTGTTATCATCAAAATATTAAATATAACAATTACAACCCCATTTACCTTCTCAAAATTCTCCCACTTTGCCTCATTTACCTTGTGGAGACTGGTGAAATTTCCTTGAAGTTGGTTGGCACTAGGAATGCAACTTATATCCTTTCCTTATTTGTATTTTCTTTTTCTTTTAATAAAAAAAATATAATTACATGACCCCTACACCCAAAGAATAATAAAACAAAATATTGATTTATGTTGGAACAAATATAAAATAAAATATTGATTTATGTTGGAACAAATTGGAAACAAAAAATAAAAAATAAAAATAAGAAACTTATTTCCAAACAATTTTGAGATTTTTTCAAAAAAGAGAATCAAGAAACATAAATAATTAGTCAAAAGTTTAGATTTCTTAATAAAATTGAAAATGAAAAACAAGATACAGTAACATTAACAAACTGTTTGACCCTTAACGTCTTACCTGTTTTAGGTTCACACTAAGAATGGAACTTGCTACATTAATATCACTACATTTTAACGGCAAGATTTAGGGGTTACATGGGGTAAGAGATGTAGCTAACATTAATATACAATTTATGATCCATTGGCTGAGTTGTGAAAATGAGAGCAGTCTTAAGAAATAAATGGATTTAAGTTTCTTTTTTCCCCTCCTTTTTTCTGTCAACAAAAGAAACTTCATTAGTAACAAATGATCATCCACAGATGTTTAATTTTCAGCATCAACATGTACCTAAATAGAAAGCTAACGTTGAGAAGAAGCAGTAAATATGGAAAAATGAAGAGAGCCTCAAAATCATATATCCCATCTCTTTTTGACCCTGAACATTAGAGCTGCAGACTTAATGTCATCTTGTGGAACTTGTAACATGAATTGTACTTTCATCTTCATTGGAGCTGTTTTTGCTTTCCCGCCTTCGTCTCCAACCTGAAATTCATCGTTTTACGATCACCTCAAACACCATTAACTTAAAACCTCGTATTCCTACAGGTTGTTTGATGACTATTCTACTCTAGTTTTTCTGTTTTTCCCTTTTAAAGACTAGATTTGTTTTTGATATTCATTCACAAGTGATTTCTTAACAGCTGAAACAATCAAACCTACGACCAATCACTTACCCAAAGAGACGCCCAGCCGAGTCGGACCTTCGCATCATAACCAGCTTTAAGCTTCAAATCTTTCCCATATGTGTGCTTGTACACCGCACTCCAGTCGTTAGAATCCAAATCATACCAATAGCTGACAAAGTCAATTACAAAATCATTGATTTGGGACAACAAGGGGTTTTAAGATATCAAACAGACTGCAATCAACGATAGGAATCAGCCATCAACACCCTCACATGGGTTGGTTTGGGACCTAACCTCAATTTATCAGAAGGACCGAACCGACGCTTGAATGCAAATGACAATGCATTTGAAGGCAGAGAAATTCTCGGAATAAATGAAAGTGGCTCGTCCTACAAAAGTTTCATAGGCATACCAAACATTCTGATTACAAGATTCGAAGTTGGAAAAACACACAATTCAGAGCAAACCATGCTACAGAGTTGCATCCTTCCTCAGCAAAACAACGTTTTCTTTTCTAATTACGAAGCAAGTCAAAGAAACAAGGCAACAACAGAGTAGACAAATTATATACTGACCTTGTAGCTGTACTTCAATTCCAATTCTTCATCCTTGTACTCAGCACAGCAAGTGCCATTCAAAAGTTGGCCTTTAAGAACACCATTTATCGACATAACCCGGTTCACTTCCTCCTCTTCTCTTTCTTCCAATGAAATTTCCCCCACGGGAAACTTAAACGTTGCCCTCGGCTAAAGCATATCAAATTTTTGGGCAAAGTATTGTCAGTCTCAACAGTTCAACAAGAAGTCCCCAGTGATTAAATACTAAAAACAGTCATCAGATGAAGAGTAATATAGCACAGTAGGTAAAACAAATTATAGGACAATGTATTTAAACACTGGCAGTGGCACTGAGGATTAAGATTTCCAATTTAGTAACAACTCACCAGCCCAATCGCAGGAACGGGTGAAGACAATTCCAAGGCGTAACCAGGATCAGCAATTTTAGCAACCACACCGAGCTCTCCTTGTTGAGCCTGAAACAAAGATCAAAAGTCAACTATCCCAGTTGAAGTACACACTCAAGTAGAACAAGAAAAGAAAAAAAGAAAGATTCAGAGAGAGAAATGCATTTCTTGGAGATCTTTGTTCCGTAATAGGTTAGAGAAATGGGGGGAAAGAGTTGGGCAATGGACAGGAACATAATTGAGAAATGGAAAGAAAGAAGAGAAACCTTGAGATCGTGAGCAGCGCGGAATTGCAATCTAGGGCCAACATCGAGAGAAGAACGGAGGAGAGCGTTGTGTTGTTCAGGGTCGTAGTGGATGGAAAGATACTTGGAATGGAACTGCAACTGGGAATCGGAGATATCGCCCTTGTTGTTGTTCTGGAAGGAGAGCTTGATCTTGGCGAGGTTTTGGAGGAGCTTGCATGAAACCTTGTGGAAGAAAATGGAGGATTCGCTGTCGAATTCGGAGGTGACTCGAATGGCGGGGCGCGTGGGGAAAGGGAATAGAGGGCGAATTGGAGGAGGAGGAGGAGGAGGAGGATCAAAGGTTGGTGAAGGTGGAAGAGGAAGAAGGCAATTTGGAGGCGGAGGAGATGAGGATTCAAAATACGCCATTGTAAGACCTCGAGATCTTAGCAGAGCAGCGGTAGCTGTAGACTCACAGAGAAGGGATGGGGAAATATGAATGAACGACGCCCCTTTCTTTCCTTTCTTCGGGATTTTAAATTCAAAAACCGAATAAAAATTTAAAGCAAAATACCTTTTTCGTCCTTCAATTTCGAGTTTAATTTTTAATTTTCTTCCTTACATTTTAAAATTTACACTTTCACACTTATGAAGTTTAATATCGATTTAGTTCCTACGTTTCAAAATGCATATAACTTTACTTCTATGTTTTGAAGTTAACTTCATTCCTAAATTTTAAAATATTACAACTTTTTTTTTTCTGAATTTTCACTAATGTTCAATTTTGATCTTAGAGAAAATTGTTATCAATCTTAATGAAATGTTGATAAGTACATGAAATATTAATTTATATTATTTATATGTTTACGTGGTAAAATTATTTATTTTTATAATATTTCGATAAGTGATGCGAGAGGACACTACTTGAATATTACAAAAATAAATATTTTTATCACATCCACTTTGAAAATGTATTTTTTTATCAGTGTTAAATAATATTAATTAATATTAAATAGAATCATCCTAATCAACATTACATCAACCGATCTATGATGTAAAAGATTGAAAGTGAGCATTATTAAAAATTCAAAGGTAAAAATGTAAAGGATAAGAAACTTAGGACCAAACAAGAACTGAACTCTGCAGTAAAATTGTAATATTTTGAAACTTAAAGGCTAAATGGAATCTAAACTCAAAATTTAAGGATAAAAATGTAAAATTTTGAAACTTGAGGATGAATTGAAACCAAACACAAAACTCCGAAAAAAAAAGTATTTACCCAAAATTTAAAAATATATTGTATATTTATTTTTTCTTTTTTGCCCCATTAAAATAATAATAATTTACTTAATGATTTCAATTTGGTGTTTGTAATTTATACTTGTACAACAAAGGTGGATATGGAGATTTTTTTTTTTTTATATAAAAATGTGGAGGTGGAGATTGAACATTTCACCACAAGAAGCCTAATAGATGTTTTTATTCACTAAACCATATTCAAAAGGAGCGATTTAAATTATTTATGTGATTACAAATTGTTTCTGTTGTTATCAAATTGAATAACTCACTTGTTTTTTTAGAGCATTTTTCTATCTTCGTACACTGAGATTCAGGACTTATGTCTAGGTAAAATAAGGGGGAAAGAAGTGAGTTGTCTCAAAGGGGTAAAAAAAAAAAATTTAGATATAGGTAAACTCATTTTTACCCACTTGAAAAGTTCATAAATTTTTTTTTATTAAGATAGATCCTAATACATTTAGCTAAATAGAAAATCGACCTTATTATCATGTTAATTTTAATATATATATATATATATATTTTAGTGCTAAAATCTATCTAAGTCCTGTAGAGTGACCTATCAGATTGGCGTGAGCGGTTCGAAGCGAACTTCTTTGAATATCTACTTTTCTACTTTCGATGCTGTTTGAACCTGGTATAGTTCTGTCCATTATCATTTCAGTTTTCCTTCATGTAGTGGACACAGTTCTCCTTCCTTGAAGTTAGTTGGATCATCTTATAGGGAAAGTTGTGTACATTTCGTATAGTTTTCCACTATAACTTGCCTGTAATGGGCGTAGTTCCCCTTCCTTGAAGTTAGCTGGATCACCTTATAAGGAAAGTTTTGTACATTTTAGGATAGTTTTATACATTTTAGGTGTCATGGAGCTACAGGCAAACCCCACCAACACTCAAGTTTAGTTCAAAATTCGACTTTAGACAGATTAGCTTCAAACAGATTCTCATACCTGGTTTAATGGTATGGGGAGTGTACTTATAGTAGTCAAAGGGGTAGTTGTCTATCCCATTACGATATTGCGTTGTTCGGGTGGGTAACCTGCCATGGACCGTGGGACCATGTTGGTCTCTGGGTTTATCCCTACTTTGAGTTCCATCTGTGTCTGAGTATTGAGGCCAGATCGGTCAGGTCGGGCTTAACGACCTTGGAACAGGTTGCTACGTGGCAGTTTGCCCTCTAACATATACATACACATACATATATATATACATACACATACATATGTATGTATGTTCAAAATGATAGATAATAAATTAATATTATGTTTAAACAATAGAATCCAAATTAACAAATTCTTACTAGGTTAGCATAAAAATAATGTAAAATTAGTTTAAAGTATTAGATTTATTTTTGTTATAGACATTTTTGAATCATTTTAGAAACCTTAGGTCATATCTAAGCCTTTTAAACTTAAAACAATTAAAAAAAATCCTATTTGCAAAATTCGATGGATTAAAAAGATATAGGAAAATATCAATTTTAACCAATAAGGTATATCAATTTTACCAAAATTTTCATTTAAATAAATTGTACCTTATAAATGGACAAGTATTACAACCTTTACCTTAAACTATATATATATAAAAAGAAAAAAGTACAATTTTTGTAACGCCCCAGGATTTTCAACATCCTAACAAGGACCGTTACTAAAAGCCGCCTAAAAAGTCTCGCTCGTACTATGGTAATAACACTTAAAAAAACTTGCACTAAACAAAACAAACATTATTAAAGTTCTAACGAAACTCAAATTCTTCACAGTTAATAATTTAATAACAATCTAACCTTATAAAATTTCTCAATGAAATCTTCTTTAATCATAAACCATCCACTACATGAATCTAACTATCTCAAATTGCAAAGAAAAAGCCAACTCAAGTTCAACTTGAATAAATGTAGTATACTGATAAATATCTTCGATAGACTACATCACCACAGTTCAAGTAGCTAAACAAAATTAATGTTCTCAAGAATAACGAACTGTCAATCCTAAAACATCCCTTAAATAAGGAACTTAAACAAACCAATTTATTAACCTTATAACAGACTCGATAGCTATCCTATTCAAAATGAGACTTAACAACGCAGTGTTAAATGGTCTCTCTAGTCAAGTCTCCTCCTCGCCATCACCATTCCAAGAGTTAGCTCGATACCTGCAAAACTGGAGGGGGAAAAAGAGGGATGAGTACAACCACGGTATCCAGTAAGCAGCCCTTATCTGAAGGGTCGCGCACAAAAGCATGCTTATCAAGGAAACAACGTGTCATGCTTATCAAAGAATCAACACATGATGCTTATCATTAATCTTGAGCCTTAAATGAAAGAAACATATTATGCGTAAGTTTAACTAAACATGTACCATACATGTCAAACACATCCTCACATCTTAACTCACTAGTTCTCTCTCTTAATTCCTCCAAGACTTACTCTTTCGAGTCGTACCAACCCCTGACCTTGCGTAGCCAAGGCATATACACTTCTCTACGGTGCTCGATGTTGGACCTTGACATTTGTCCCCAAGACCTCAACTACTACTCAACGTATTGGCCCTTGGCCTCCAAGCAACTTCTAACTTATCACATTATATTAGTCCTCCAAGTCTAACTCCTCGAATTGTATCGACCCTTGTCATTTATCCCCAAGGCCCACTAATCATCTACAGAAGCTTGGCGTTCGACCTT